TATGTATGTATGTATGTATGTCTGTATGTATGTATGTATGTATGTATGTATGTATGTATGTATGTCTGTATGTATGTATGTATGTATGTATGTATGTATGTATGTATGTCTGTATGTATGTATGTATGTATGTATGTATGTATGTATGTATGTCTGTATGTATGTATGTATGTCTGTATGTATGTATGTATGTCTGTATGTATGTATGTATGTCTGTACACTGATGTTTGATGAGAACATTTGGCTCTCGGTCTCTGCTCTAGTTCATCCTGAAGGTGTTCTATCGGGTTGAGGTTGGCACTCAGCGCGGACCATTCAAGGTCACCCGCAATAAAGTCTCTGGGCCCATTTCTTTGTGGATCTTTCCTCGTAGAAAAAAGGTGCGTAGTCATGTTGGAAGAGAGGGAGAGCCACCTGCGAACTGCTCACACATCACACCTGTTGGTACGCTGGATTCAGAGGTCCTCACACTGGACATTAGGGGTCAAGCCCAGATCCTGTCGCTCCATTCCACGACTCTCGCGGCGCACTATTCTTAAGGTACCCTGAGGGCCACGCAGAACCTTTCATCGTCCTATCTTTTTAAATTAACCCGGACTTTTGAATTGGCTTCTCCATCAGCTTCTGAGTCCAGGTGTTTCTGAATGTTTGCAGGCTTCGGTAACGGCTTCTTAGCAGCTACTCTCCCCCTTAAGGCCTTGATTTTCATTGTGGAGACTTTTCCAAACTCTCGTCTGGAAGCATTCGTTTCTGCACTGGTTGTAAAAACCGTTGAGGTTTCTCAACACCTGCTTCCTTCGACTTTTTTCCCGGCCTCTTTCCTGGCTTATTTTAGAAATGCCGCTCTCCGTAATGGACTCCGAGGCATACCGAGCACACGGAGAAAACTTTGTGTCTTGCCTTTTGTCTCAGAGGTCATCCGGCCTAACGAGGAGCTTTATTTCAGGTGCTTTTTTTGGCACTGAGCTCTCAGCGTGTTAGCATCTTTTAACTAATCACAATTTCAAACTGAATGCCCCCTTTTCAGAAGACAAAACTCTCTTTTCTGTTCATTATAACGTTTATTAATGTTATTTTTTTGTAACCTAGTACTTGAAAATGCATAGTACTACAGCTTACTTTTAAAAATATCCCTCGTGCTAAAAAAGCTTCTACTTCATGGTGTTTTAACCGTTTGGTTAACATAGGCACAAACCTCCCTTTGGGTGGTGGTCAATCACTGTATATTTATGTGTAAAGTAAAAGTACATACAGTATATTTAGATTTAGATTTAAATGTTGGTGGTAGAAGATATAGTTGTCGTATGAGGAGCAGTGATGGCGGGAATCAGGGGAGTGCCTCCAGTGGTCACTGTCTGGCCTCCTGGAGGTGTCGCGGGCCCAACTGGACCAAACGCTGATGAAAGGGAAGTTGGAACCTGATGACCCCACCGACATGCTGGTCAGCACCGCTGACCGGTTCGAATAGGGACCGAAGTGTAATTGTTTAAATTAGTCTGGACTATTTGTTTGTAGCACAACCCTTGAGTATATACAGTATGTTATATATTTAGTCCCTAGGAGTGATAATTGGTGGATGGAATTTGTATATATTGTTCATTGTTCATGCATTTGGCAGACGCTTTTATCCAAAGCGACTTACAGGGTAGGGAGGAGCCGTTTTGGCCGGGAATCGAACCCAGGTCAACTGCTTGGAAGGCAGCTATGCTATATATATATAATTTTTTTTACCCTTTCCAAAATATTTGAATATCATGGAAGTTGTTTAATTTCCATAATTCCATTCAGAGAGTTAAACTAGATTCAGGGCCCACAATTTAAACGATTTCAAGTACCGTTTATTGTATAACTTGGCTTCCAGCTTTTAAAACCCACTCAATTGCTTCAGTCCGGTTCAATGTAGTAAATGGTGATTTTTTTACAGTTTTTTTTTTTTTTTTTTCTTTTCCTGTTTGTGTGCTTTACAAGCTGGAAGCCCAAATTGTTGAACAATAAACAATTACACACTTGAAATCATTTAAATTGTGGAATCTATGAAAGTTTAACTTTTTTAATGGAATTATGATAAACCAATATGATTCAATCGAACAACTTTTCCATGGTATTCTAATTTCTTGGAAAGTGTCTGCATATACACACATGTAACTAGTAATACAAAAGTATATTACGCCGGTATGACAACTGCAATTTGACCGCCTGGCATCAGTAAAAACAGCCAAAAAAAACTATAGATCTATTTCTTTTCCTTCTGCCTTATGATTACAGAAGACGAATAGCTTTCAGGCCATGTCAAAAACAGAGAATTTGCAGGATTTCCTGGCATAATATGAAAGGTTAGACATGAAACCAATATTCGAAGTCGCTGAAAACTCCTATGTTTGGTAGCATTCCTCATCTAAAAACCTTTGTGTTGGTGTCAGTGAGGTTATGTGCAGATGAAGAAGAGCAAAACTACACAACAGGAGGTAAGGAGACATAGCACTTTTTACAGTTTATTGTGTGTGTGTATATATATGTACATACATACACACACACATACACACACACACACATATATATATATATATATTTATAAAACTAGAAAAGTAAGACTGTTTCAAAGTCATTAACAGCCATCCATTTATTCATATATACATATATATACAGTTTCAGTCAGAAGCTTGGACAAGTCCTTTGGATGAGTGCTGTCCAAACTTGCAAATGGAAGTGTATATATACATTTACATACTATCTACAGACCCAATACAGTGATCAGCTGATCAGTTTTCTCCGTGTGGTTGTGTTCCATTGCATAGAAAAAGGCACAGCTCTGAGGTCTGTGTAAAATACAGCCTTTGTATAGAGATTTAGAGGCGGCTGTGGTCAGTCGCCATCACACTCGGACGGTGCTGAAGAGAAACCGATTCGGTGACAAAAAAAAAAAAAAAACACTGATTGAAAAGTCTCTGGAAATTGAATCGTGTTCAAACTATATACAGTACTTTTGGCATTGAAGCGTCCATGACAGGCTTTGAAGTCTTTGACATCTAAAAAGGTTAGAAGAGGGGATTTTCTTTTTTTTTTCTTTTTTTTTTTTCTAGAGTATTGCTGCATGAACTCTCCTTCAATTGGAAAATGTCGAACCAAGAAAAATACAATTTGAAAAAAAGCCGTGGCCGCGAACCCACAAATAGATAAATAAACTAAGCAAGAAACAAAAACACATAAGCATGAGAATATAATTACCTATTATATTTTCTTTTAAAAATGGCTTCCACTCATTTTTCCACACTCCAATACATTCCTACCTAAAATACATTCCTACCACACATTCTGTACACACATTTACAATCCATATGTTCAATTCACGTAAAAAATAAATATATTTACACAGAGAAGACAAAACAAAGAAAGAACAAAAAATCTATATGAATAAATAACTTCGATGAAAAAAAAGGGGGGAAAAAAAGCACTCCAAAAATCAAACGTGGCCAAAAAGAGAAAGAACCAGTCGTCTGAAATTCCGAAATTCTACAGGTTGCGTCGTTTGAATGCCGGGAAGAAAATGAATGGAATCATATTCACCTCGCTCTGGCTGACAGAGGAAGGCGACTCGGGCCTGAACCGGATCCGAACCCCCCCCCCCCCGCAGGTAGAAATGCCACTGAGGGACTAACCTGTAAAAACTGTGTGTGTTGGCGTGTTTCCCACCTGCTGCTTCGGAAGTAAAGATCCACTCTTGAATATCTTTTGCTACCGGGGATATATTCCGGATGGACCACTGCTACAAGCTGCCCGGAATCGTCTTTGCCTTTTCCCCACACGCGGATGATCAAAAACCTGGTTCTGTGACCTGTGAGGATGGAGGTAATGGGGGGAAGGGTTATAAGGAGTTCTAGAACAAACCCCGGTTGTCTGCGTGGCTTTAACCTAAGAGTGTGTCGGACTGGAAGGGCTGTGGCGACGGGAAAGTACCGCGGAGTGCAAAGTAAACGCACTCCGCAAAGAAGAGGAAAGCGGGTAACACTGTACGGCTCCGTTTCAGGCCGCTATTCTGCCCAACCGACGGGAACCGGGCCAAAAGAGCCCGTTTGCCCTCGTTGTAAAACCCTTAGTACCCCACTGGCAGATGATGTGAGCTGGTTTTTGTTTTTGTTTTAGGCTCTGCGGCTAGTGTGGAGCCTCCATCTGACTGGGACCTGCTGGTCAGTTATGGCCTGGCTTGTTGTCTTCTTCTTTTTTTTTTTGCTTCCGATGTAAACACACCTTCCTGCGGGTCGAGCTCATTTGAATTCCGCCGCGAGCTTATCGTGCTAACCGGCTCGTTTGACCGGGCTCATGTAAAACAGCGAGACACAGTTATGTGTGCCTGCCAGGGAGAAAGAGAGAGAGAGAGAGAGAGAGAGAGAGAGGGATGAAAAAGAGAAGTCCTGAATGGATTTTGGAGACTTGATGTGCACGAGAACAGACGTCTCTGTTTTAACAAACAACCTGTCAAAGTCTTTTGCAGCCGCTCCCAAAGCATCCTTTTGTAGCAAAGATAATATGTAATCTAGCACACTGGTAAAACAATGCATTCCTGTTTATGCTCGCTTTACAATTAAAACAAAGCATCTGTAATAATATTAAAGATTAAATAATTAGCATTTGATCATGTAAAATTACCTTAATAGTTTTAATACAATGCAATAAATTAGAAGAAAAAAAAAACATTGAGGAGTGACCTGTCTGGGTTGATAAAGTGAACTAAGAAAAGAAATACTGTAAAAACTGGAATAGAATAAGTGGTCATTTAAAAGGCACTCGTCTGCTAAAAGCCATAATTACAGAATGTGTGTGTGTGTGTGTTCGGTATAGTTCGCTTGTATTTCTGTACCTGTGAGGAGTTTATCACCCCACAATGATGGCATGATTAATCAAAAATAAACCCAAAAACAAAACTAAACTATGTCTATGATTACTCTTCAGGGTTAAGGCTTAGATTCAGATTAAAGATAAAAACGTGTTAGGTTTAACTTTAGGGTTAACAAATGAAGATCCTCACATGTAGAGATATACAAATATACGCTCTCTTGTTTCCCAGTCGCTTTGTTTCAGAACCTGGAAAGGCAAGCGCAGTGCATGCACAGTGTTGTGTAGAAGTAGTAGTTGTGATAGTTTCAACTGACATCACCATCGATGTTTACAATTACCGACCGCTGAGGAAAGTTTGTAAAAAGAATTAAAGAGAGAGAGAGAGAGAAACACACAAAACTCACAATGTAAAAACAATAAACAGAAAAAAGAAAAGGGGGGGGATCATTCCAGGCTGTTCTCGGTAGTGTCCAACGGGTCACGAGCCCACCAGGACCTCCATGATGTGGTCCAGCTCCGTCAGGTCGATTTTGAAAGGCTGATTGGCTGAGACCTGGGGGGCGGGGCCGCTGTACGGCGAGGCCAGCGACTTGAGGAGGTCGTCCGCGGTCACCACCGGCGACAGTTTGGTGAGGCCGCCTCCGGCCGCCGCACCCACGGCGCCCGCCGTCGTGCAGGGGTCAAAGTCATACATGGACGTGTCGATGTCGGCGAACAGGACGTCGTCCAGCGCCAGATCTGAGAGGAACCCGGACGGGGAGGAGGAGGAAGGGGGGGACAGGAGGGAGGGGGGGCTGTCCGCGGGGCCACCGGGGGCAACGGTGGGCAGAGTCTCCATTTGCCGGAGCTCGGCGGAGCGGCTCTCCACCAGGAAAATGGCAGCTGCCTCTGGCTTGGCGCCCGCCGTCCTGCAGTCCCTGGTGGAGCCGGGCGGCGTCGGGGAGGGGGCCGGGGGGGGGGGGGGGTGGGGGGTCGGTGCGGGAGCAGGGGAGGTAGTCGTGGTCGTAGTATTAGCTGCTGCTGTCCTTGTTATGGCTGTGGAAGAACCCAATTCCAAGTCACTCGGGTGGGAGCGGAAACTTTCGTTCGAGGAGACGGCGGCGGGGACTCCGAGGGGCGGCGGGCTCAGAAGTGCTGCGGAGGGGGGGTGCGCCGGGGGCGGCGACAGCGGGGGGGTGGGGGGAGAGGCGGCGCAAAAGGCGGGATCTCCCCCGTCCTCCTCCAGGAGGGAGGCCGGGGTGAGGCAGGCCTCCAGAGGGGCGGGGCAGACCTCCACGCGGTGCGGGCAGGTCTGGGACGCCTGGCAGCCGGCGGGCGCCATCGGGTGGGGCGAGGGCGGCGGGGCCACGGCGGGCACGAGCAGCGGCGGGGACACCGGCGCGCCGGACAGCACGCCGAAGGAGGGCGGCGCCTCGCGGTAGCCCTCGTCCATGGGGTCGTCGGGCGGCGGCGAGGGCGGCAGCAGCAGCGGGCGCAGCGAGCCCTCCTGCTTGAGCTCGTCCTGGATGCGGCGGAGCATGTTGTTGATGAGCACCCGGCGCTCCAGGCTGGGCTCGCCGTGCGGCGGCCGCTGGCTGTACAGCTTCATCAGAGAGATGTTGAAGATGGTCTGCCTCTGCAGGGTGTACGACACCTTGGAGAGGCCCTCCGGGGGGCCGCCTAGCCCCCCTCCCGCCACCGGCGCCTCCAGCGTTTTGCCTTCCAGCCCCTCTTCATCCTCGTCCAGTTTTCGCTTCGCGCCTTTACCGAACATATATCTGGAAAACAAGAACCTGGAGGTTAGGAACAAAACCTCACAGGCGGCGAAAAAATTTTAGTGGAGAGATCAAGCAAATGTTTGGGATTCCTCGTCGACCCACTCCAGTCTGAGACACCAAGCATGATGTTGGAGAAATAAATGAATAAATTACCATTAATGAATTACCAATCTTATAAAGTTATAATACATGACTGAAGTCATGCCAAATTCAACCTCCAGATATAGCAACTGGGAGTCCAGTGCACTCAAACTACAGTCTGTGCATGCTTCGGTTAGTTTATTTTTATTTTTTCTGTGATTATTTCAAAGGGCTTTGTAAATAAAGTGGAATTGGATTCCAGCCCCAGACTTTGACCCGTCACAAACGGCAGATTCCAGCCCAGAGCCGGCAACAACGGAGAAATAACTGTGGACACGGTGAATCTCAGCCACTGACAGAGTCAGGTGGACCGGACGTAAGCAATGTCCAAATGCAAGCGGAGGCCTCACGACTGGATGCACGCGCCTTGGGTTACGTAACGGCAGCGTTATTAGTTGTAGCGCAGGATCATAGGGCAGACTTCAAAACCCAGCCCTCCCTCACGCTCCGCTCTTTTGCAATGTTGAAAAAGGCACATTGAATTACTTAGTCTGGGGGAGTGGGAGCAGAGGCAGTAGGAGCAAAGGAAGGAGAAAAAAAAAAACAGATTCTAGTGGTTTGGTTGATCACAAGTCGGAGAGAGAGAAACGAAATACAGGCAGAAAGAGAGAAAGAAAGAAAGAATGACTGCAGTGTGTTTGACTTTAATCCAGGCTGACAGGCTCATGCAGCCAGCCGCTGTCTTACACTCTGGTACAACGCGCATGCGTCTGCTCAAACACACACAGACACACACACACACACACACACACACACAGGAAGTGTGAGCTGCAGGCCCAGTCACCACGACTGGGTTGGTTGCCATGACAAACACAGTCAGCTGGGAATTCACCCAAAGAGATGACAAAGAACGGGATGAGGGGGAGCAGAGGAGGGGCAGGTGTGGGGGTGGTGTTTTTTTCTCTTTTTTTTGGGGGGGGGGGGGGGGGTGCAGGAAGGAAGACGCGGAGGAGGAGAACAAGAGCAAAGAGGAAGTAGAGGAGTAGGTGAGAGACTGATCCAGGAAGGTGGGAAGGAAATCCCCCCCCCACCACTACCGCCAAAAATCTTTGCGTGGTGGTGAACGTGCGAGTACTCAATTTACTTTTATAGGCAGATGTGAACAAAAGTAAACATCATCTGACGTCAACTCAGACTGATCTTTTCTATGACAGAGAAGACAGTAGTGTGAGTAAAACACTCACACAGCTATCTAGTCCATTTATACTACTGGAAAAAGTCTAAATGTGACCCCACACCTACAGGAAATTGGGAGTAAAAGCCAAGAGGGTATGTAAAAGTTATTGTTCATTCTGGACCAGAAATGCTCCGCAAACTAAATGTTAAAGGCAGGTGTCTGGGTCAAACAAAGTTCATACTCATAATTTCATAATGAGTATAATATTCATGTGATTAATAACATAAATATAATGAGAAATCATTACAAGTTTATGGTTAGATAACCGGTAGACATAAATCTTGATGGTCCCTGTTCTAACAGCTGGATGGTTTACATATGTTGGAGAATAGGATCATAGGGCAGACTTGAAAAACCCAACCCTCCCTCCACACTCCCCTGTGTTGTTGTTTTTTTATATGAGAAAACTCTTATCTACTTTGATTAAGTCAAATTAAAAAACATAATGAACATCAGTGGGAAACTATTATGTTTGCCTTGGCTCGGTTTGCTAAAGCCGGCCTACTCCAGAATCGGTAATTATCTACCCACCTTAATAGATGTGCCTAAGTTGGTAATAAGAATAAAAAAACAAAGAAAAAACAAACATTGTTCTACAGCAGCCAGACTGACAAGGCTGTTGGAGCAGCACATGTCTCCATTCAGTCTATGTTTACTTTAAACCAATAAACCATCAGTGGGCAACTCAGTGGAAAACAATCATCTCCAACAGTCAGCTGGCTGATTAAGCAGTCTGTAACTAGTTATCGGTAATAAATTAGAGTAGAATTGTATCAAAAAGTAAACACTTTTGAGGATTTTTTTAAAAAGTATATAGTCTTTCAACAGCTTCATGCATATTAAAACAAAGCAAATCAATAAAATTGTATTGAAATTTAAATAAATTATGAGAGGAACATTCACTGTAAAAAAAAAAGGAACCCCTGAAACTCTGTCCAGCTTGTGTCCTCATCCACAGGCCACTGTATTGTCCTGAAAGTGCTTGCTGAAAGATGAGAAAGCTTCCCGACCCCTTGGCCCCCCAATCCTTTGATACCGTGAGGTTTAGATGGTCTAATAGTCAGGGTTTAGGTCTGCGTTTTTTATTCAGTGGGTCATCAGGAAAAGCCTCCCCCCCACCGGTCGGTGAACACTTCTGATCCAACAGTTAAAAGAGAGGTCATATTGTGTAAGTAGGGGCACATCCCTCGACCTCTACATTGGAGGCCAGACTGTGATGATGGCCAACTGACCAACAGGAGACTCTGGAAAAGTGAAAAACCGCAGCATTATCCACTGAGCAATGAGGACTGACGTGCTCAGGACTGGAAAGCCTTTAGTGCTAATGATTTTCAGAGTGAAACGCGCACTAAACTTCACCGGCAGCAGCTGTGCGTGAATTTTCCAGGAAAAGGGGAGATCAGAGTGTCAGAGGCACAGGGAATCCAAAAGAGCTCCGGAGAGTTTCAGAGCAGTTTACGGGTGTGTGACTGAGAGCTAAGGCAGCTGCGCATGTCTGACTCTCAGAGGCAGGGCAGAGCGTTTGAGCTCTTTACACACACACACACACACACACACACACTCAGTGCAGAGCTGACATACCAGTGGTGCCCCACCCCTTACATTCCACTTTATTATTCTCCTCTTCCCTTCCTCCTCTACCTCTTCTGCACTGACTATTTTTTTCACCCTCTTTTTCATTTTTATTTCACCCTCCTCGATTTGTTTTTATGTTTATTTTACCAAACACCCTCTGGGCTCTGTCGGCTCACAGGCCAAGCACCACCCCACACTCTGTGAGCCATGACGGGATACGAACACACCGGACCAAGAAAGCCTCACAAATGAGTCCAGGGGAAAATGCAAAGTGCAAAATGGAGACAAGGTCGTTCTCACTTAACATGGACCTCTGTCAACTGCTTGATTAAAAAAAAATAATAAATTTAGTCAATGGTTTGTGTTTGTTCTCTTTTCAAAACATATTTCCCCCCCAAAACAAGCATCCATTGCCTTTAAATCCCACACAAAACATGCATGAGCAAAAAGATTCTGGCATCATCCTCTATAATGAGGGCACAAGCAAGCTGCTCCACAGAGTTAATGAGAAACAGGGGTTGTTCTCCACTGTATTTTTACTTTTTCTTTTAGTAAACATCTTAAGAATGTGGAAATAAACTAAAGAAATCAAACCGAACGCACAAATGGCTGCCTCTAGCCGAGTGAGCGGATTGATGGGCCCCCTCTTGAGTTTTGCCTTCAGCCTGGAATGGTGACCTCTAGAACTGACCACACACTCATTCCCACAAGGTTTCCACCCTTTATGACAGAACAGATGAGAGTTCATCGCAATCAACATGAGGATAGGGCAATAATGGTACCAAACAGAGTTTAACTGGAAATGGACATCAATATTTGTGTCTGTTGAAGAAAGAAAGAAAAGAAAAAAAAAGAGTAGAGAAATTGAGGAACACATGGGTGATTTTATCCGACTTTAGTGCTGTTTTACGCACATCTGCATGAGGTCAGGTGTGTGCGTGCAGTGGAGACATGTGGGCTGCACGTATTATTTCAGTAGCTGGCTGTTGTGAGGAGATGTGTGAGGGTTGTGCAGTAGCGCAGAGCTAGTGGATGGACTGCAGTGATATTATGATCCTGTAACCGGATACGCTGGTTTCCATGCCTGAGCTGCACATCCACCGCTGCTCCTCCTCCTCCCCCTCCCACTACCACCACCACCACCTCCTCCTCCTCCTCCTCCTCCCCATCAGGCTATTTCAGGTTCTGGGCATGCACAAAGTACAGATGCACACTTCCCCGCCGCAGGTAGATGTACGCAGAGCGGAGACGGAGAACGGCCGGCGTTAATCTCGTGGTTCGGAGCGAGCATGCGCTCGGAGGGCAGCGCGCTGGCAGTCATCCCCCCACCTTGCTGTAATGCATCCAGCCCTGCGCATGAGAACGACACCGTCCAGCTCAGCCCTGAGCGAGGCTGCGCGTTTGTGTGCGGGCTTCTCTCTCGCTGTCTCACACACTCACACACACACACACACACACACACACATAACATGTCTGACTAGTAAACACATTCCAGACAAAACCCAGAGGAAGAGATAGCGCATTGTAGTGTTTCGCTGACCAGACCCGCTACGCTCAATAACAGTGGCACTTCCACTTAAGATACAGTTACACAACAACCAGCGCCACAACTTGCTACTACTACTACTGTTGCTTCGGTAACTCTGCCCTGCTGACGCATCCAAACGGGTTTTGTGCCCCACTCAGACTTGATCGTCAGGAGATCCGTATGGACTGTTTGCTGGCAATTTCTGACTCTGAAACGTCCAGTTTGGCTTGTGAGAGAACAGGCAAATTGTCCCGTTCGGGAAAAATGGAGCATGTGTCACTTCCTAGCAGCTGCTCCAAACCACACGCCACACGCTGCAGCACTCAACAAACCTTAAACATTAAAGCGCCACTACTCAGCAGTTCACAACACCTCGTTCAGATGGAAGAAATTCAAGATTCAATCGACTGAAGCAAGTTAAATGATGATATTATTCAAAAAAAGAGGGACAACAAAAAAGATGGCACATTAATCTGGTTATTATCATGAAATTATCATGTACTTTCACCATCAGGGCGTCTGACCCTTTACTTTGCCGGTAAGAAACTAAGCCAAAACTCCAATATGACCCCAAAAGACTTGTAAATAAAGTTCTCGGCATTCAAAGTGAAACTGAAAACAAAAATCTTAAGCCACAAAACCTTGAAAAACAGGAGAAAAAAAGTTCCAGGGACACGTGTTCCCATTAATCAAGTACAAAAAGTCCAGGCTTACGCGTCACATGCTGTGTGGTCCCATCAAGAGACATCAACATAATCGTGATCCATGTCTGCTACACAGAATGCCATCAAGCTCAACTGACTGATGGGGCTCATGCCTCTCAAAGGGACTTCTGTCTGTCAGGAACAGAAAGAAGGGGGGGGGGGGGAGAGCCCCTACCAAAATAAATAAATAAGCCAATCATAGGACGAGAAAACTTTGTCTGTGTGTGTGTGCTACAAACATGTGAGTGTTTTTCCTCAGGGTGATCATAAACACTCACATGACAGAGGTCAGCTGGCTATCACATAGAGAATCCACTACAACCTCTTACGTAATGACAAGCCTGGTTACAAAACTGAACAGTTTGACTGCACAAAAAGCAGCATCTCGCAAATAAAGAGGTCCAGAAGGGGCTTTAATACATTCACCTGCTCACCCAACAGTTTAAGCGGACTCAAGCAATTCTCTCCCCAGATAGACGGTAAACGTGGAGTCAAGTCTCCCTTTTATTAGCAACGCTTAGACTGTTGGGAGGGGGGGTTTGTGGAAAAGGACAGGGCCAGATATTAGAAAGCACCTCTCGGTTTAACAGCAGAGGTATTCCTGGCATAGTAATACAGCAACTAGGAAAGTATTTCAATACAACAGCCAATACACCGGACACAAAGAATTAAAAGTAACACAGCCCCGACAGGTGCCACATGCTCTTTTTTAATATGTGTTGTAGTGTGCAAGTTACAGTCCCAGCGTGCAGTAGTTTGACAAAGCTGTTCGACAACTCCTTACTTCTCACCCACGCGTGCACAAAAGGTATGTTTGCGAGCAGTTTCAATTTTCTATTTAGTTAGTACCTTCACACAAACGGTCTCACTCCCTCTCCCATTAGCGCCCGCTTTTAAGTCTATAAATAAAAGTAAGAAAAAGAAGAGAGCAGATTTAGGTCAGGAGACGTGTCTACGCACTGCCTGCGAGCGCTCCATTCTTCCCTTCCCAACCGTTGAGCGAGATGGCAGCTTGGCACTTTAGGTGAGGGAGCCTCTGAAGCGGCTGTGGCGCGCGCTCGAACCCGCCGTGCTACTGCAGTGTGTCCCCTCATTGCTGCAGCATGCGCCGGATCACGGCAGAACACCCCCCCCCCCCCGTACGTCCAGTGCCCACCTTGCTACGGCAACACCCGCCTCACAGCTGCAAGTGGCATCATTTCCACTGCAGCCAGCAGCCTTATTGCTTGACTCCAAGTCGAAGCGTTCCTTTGGAAGGCTCACTCTAGAGGTCACGCCAATGCAGTGGAAGCATCATAACTGCTACCGATCATATATTCAGAACAACCGAAAGGTGTGGAACAAATTGTATCTGGCTTCAATCAGACCTCACTGGGTAGTAAAGGAAACTCAGGGAATTGTGACAGGTTAAAGCCTCACAGATTAGCAATAAAAACAGTCTGCCGCTAATCTCCTCTGCTATCTTTCATATACATTTTGTCATTATTACCATAAGAGAGAAAAATAAAAACACATAATTTTCGTCCAAGTGTAGATGTTGATACTACAGATTTGTTAAATATACTCTTCACCCTATCTAGAGTTTGGGGACCTCCTCACATGGAACAAGTTCTTCCCCCCCCCCTCTTCCTCTTGCTACTGTAGTGGACTGTAGTTAGCTGCCCTCTGTGGTCTGAGGGGAGTCCGTTCGTCCAGACACAAAAGTGAGAACCTGCGACGTGACCTACATGCAAGGCTTGTGGGTCAACGGCAGCTAAAAGTGAGGAAGAGGTGCTGTCACCGGGCTGGCCGGTGTGTTGTGGTGCAGGTTATGAAACAAGAGGCGTCCCCCCCCCTCCCGCCCTCACTACAACAGCTGAGATAGTACTACACACTCAAGACTAACTAAATCACTCTACGCCGGACCGGTTGGGAAGGGGGGGGGGGCATTTCACTACTACAGACGAACACGGTTCAAGCTCCCAGTCAACAACTATGACATTAAGAGCGGTTTCGGCGCGTGCAAAGGAAACCCCGTTCAAGTTTAAAGACCATACTTTCGATGGCATCTTCGCACGCGCGCGTTTCCGATTAAATTGTGTGTTACCGAATTGGTCTAATTCGCACTAATTTTTTTTCCAGTTCTAAAGTTGTCTAAGGCAAAGGAGTCGCTTCCCCGACGTTGTTTGTTTAAGCAGTGAACTCCGGTCGGAGTAAGTTGGGGAAAGCCCTCCCGTGTGTGTTTTTTTGGTTCTGAAAAGTTCATCAGATACACTTTTCTCCACGGTGATAAACTCAAGAGGCGGCGACGACTGCCGTGGCTCTGTAAACTGTGAGCTGTCGTCAGTTAAAAGTTGAGGAAAACTGTAGAGGTTTTTTTTTTTTTTTTCAATTAAATACCAAACTTCTTCAACAAGACATTTCTGTCCGAGCAGCACTACTGAAACACCAACTGTCGCCGTCTCTATTATTCATTAGAAATAGGTTACGCTACCACGCTGGTATGTATTCTTTAAGCGTGGTTTGCTTAGCTCTTGGAATGGTACGAAACGACGACTTACCGCATCCAGGTACGTCGGAGGTCTACGGAGAAACATGGGGGGTATTTAAACAATTCCGTCGGCCACAGAAAAACAATTGCTCCTCGCTCCCGGAGACTCTGCCACACAATGGCGATGATAGGAGAAAACAGCCTCTGCTCACAGGAACGCCGCTGTATTCATGTGCCGTCGGATTTACTCCAAAAGGTGTACTACCCCTGCTCTCGTGTGCCACTTAATGCAAAAGTGTGTTTACTGTTAAAAATGTTCACAATTTCAAAAATTCACATATATCTAATTTAGGTTTATATACTTGTTTTTTAATCTTTAAATAACCTCAAAGCTTACGTAAAAGCGGTGCTCTTAAACACTACAAGATAAAATAATCAGATGCACGTTGATCTAATTCAGCTATAACATTGACACTTGAGATTTAATATTGAATCTATCTCAAACGTTAGCTAAACAATTCGTATTATCCGTGTGACAATTCCGTTATTTCTGTCATGTCAGGATCCCTGTCGACGAGTCTCGGACGTTTACGAGGCGCTCGTGAAGGCACCAGGAGAGAAGCTGAAACCGAGCAGCTGCCCGGAGAATCAGAGTCGTCGGTGTTGCTCCGCCCAGTTCCACTAGCACGCGCGCGGCCACACACGCGCCAACACACAGACTGTTCGGTAACATTGTGTTTCCTTACTGTAAGCCCCCCCCCTCTCCCCCCACGTCCGCCCTATTACTCTTATTAGCCTAGTTATTTACACATTATTTTTCATTTAAAACGTGTAGGCAATAATAACGTGTCAAGAAATATTTTAAGGTGCATTCATAACACTATTTACATATATTCCCCCATGTCACTTTGGCTTTTTGAAAAGAACCTGACGAAATTGGTAAATTTTATTGACATAAGAATGGTCAGTTGTCACGGCAGTGAACAAGGGTACAGCTTGGCCGGGGATTGATGTTAGTCCTGCCCTAGAGCAGATGGCAGGGTGATGTCCAGTAACTCAGACAAAACCCAGCAGAGGCTGCTCCGAGCAGACAAAAAACAGCAGCACAACCAAACATATCTGGGGCACAAAATGGGCATCTTAAACCGTTGTGGCCTCGTTGCCCCCTGCTGCACTCCCACCCTGCCCTTCACCAGTTTGTTCAAGTATCAAGTCTCCCTTTTCATCCCAATATTTTTTTTTTTTGGAGTCCAGCCTTTGCTATGCCCCAAAACGGTTGCTTCATCATTTGGTTTCTCCCATTTTCACAACAGAAAATGTGAGAAAAATGCCATATGTATAGAGTTAGCTCAGGAGCTTTGATGCTAACAGCTGTAGCTACAACAAGTTAGCTACAACAGCCCTGCTAGCTTTTCTTTTCTGTTTTGAGGAGGAATGGTGTTTGAGCTTCAAAATAATCTTACTACTACTACCACTTCAAACAAAATCTGTTGAAATAAGTCCTATTACCAACTCTTCAGATAACACAATCCATAAACTATCCATCTGTTTACTATCCTTAATTGAAAGGTCAATTAAAAGTCAAAAGTAGAAAAACAGCTAACAGGCTACAACGGGGGCTAATGAGCCAAGAGAGACTGCTGTTCAGGCACTAATACACAGGAATATTAAGCAAATGCGTAACAATAAAGATGGATATTTCAAAGCGTCTGACTCATGCAAACGGTTTCACCTGAGTGGAATCTCAGGTAGGAAGGGCAGGCTGGCCAGGATAGGTCTGCGCATGCCGGCATGGGCAGACACTGTGTTGAACGGACATCTGATTTTAGGCTTGTGTTCATCTCTTTGGACTCTGAGTTGACTCACGAATGCCGAGCAGTGAGAAGGGATGGCTCTAAATAAAGATTTCAGGTCAAAAACAGGAAATGGCTCAGTGAGCAGGGAGGGCAGGGCCATAGCAACACCAACTGGAGAGCTGCACCGACAACATCCCTCCCTCCCTCCCTCCCTCCCTCTCTCCCCTCCATCTATCTTTATTTATTTCTTCATTGCTCTTCTTTTATTTCCCGCCCTAATGATGCCACATTTTACAGCCTCGTTACTCATTTAGCGAATGCTTTTACACAAACCTGCGGGTTCCTTTTTATTACTGCTTTATCCTTATTTTCCTCTTCAATCTGGGTTGTCTTTCTACAATTCTGTTTTTTCCCTTTCCCCTGCCTCTTTTCCTGATGTCCCTTCGGTGTTTTAACGGCCCAATCTGTCAGTTGTGTAGCTGCTAAAAGCACAAAAGCAAAAGTCGCTTAAAATCTGACGACTGGACAGTTGTTTTAAAAAATATATATATCCTGAAAATGACAATAATCACCAGGCAGTGTAATGGTACATAAAGTAGAACATGTTCAACACCATGTAAATGCTCTGCCATTTTGTCACGAGGCTCCCCTTTGTCTTTCTTTGCCTTTCCCCGGCGTGCGAGTGTGTTTTACTATTCGTGTGAACCTGACTCATGATGAGTTCACTGGTCCAACTCATTAGCCGGCGCATGAAGCTACATGTTGCCTCCATCCATCACAGAATTGCACCTTTGAGTGGTAACGCGCGGCGTTAGAACCGTTGCCAGAATTAGATCGCCGACCATTGTGTTCCATTTATATTCACTGTGGGAACGAGCTGTGCTTTAAAAAAAAATAATGACAAGGGTGTATCGATTCACACACGTGAGTAACGTAAAATCTGGTTCAAAAGTCGGAGTTGCTCGCTACTTTGTGACAGCTTAGTTCACCCATCCATCCATTTTCTATACCGCCTACTCCTTACACTCCATCCAAAGCAGGCTCTCAGCACCACACCTTCCTTTTTTAAAATATTATATCACTACAGAAACAATAGCATCATGAGCCCTTAAAACCTGGCAGTTTTAGCGGAATGCCATGAATGCCACTCGGGTAGGTGCACCAGTTTAGAGGGTCCTCGGCCAGTGAAAGACATTTTTTTTATGTTGACCACCGCACAACATATTTCCCTGCGAGAACAAGAAAAAAAGTAGTTCCAGTCAATGTTATTTCACCCTTTGTTTCTTTTAGGAGTGGAAAACAATTCGGTCAATTGGGCAGAAAAGTAGCATCAGCCTGCACCTGCTCCTGTGTTCTCCAGTACTGTGACAGCAAACAGTTTTGTAAAAAATAAAGAAATAAAGAAATAAAACTAACTCCAAGGCTCTTGTAAAGGTCAGGTCGTGGCACGTCCCGTTTCTCTGCAACCTTTTAACAGTAACGGGATAGAACTCAAGACGGGCGTCAACACCAGGACAAAACGGGCTGAACGGAGAATTTCAAACCACTGGGCAAAGAGCTCCATTAGGGGGGGGTGTTTAAGAAGTACCACCTCAGAAAATGAGCACTCACAACAACGAGAGGAACCATTTACGATTGACTTCTGCTATGATTAGTCCCCAAAAGCAGGGCCCCACGACCACCATCAGCCCATGGATCTTCTTCCACGGGCCACACGCAAATGAATAGTAAGATTTATCCATTTAAAAACACCTTTGTGAGCAAATCTTCATGTCCATGACTAAATGCTTACATATGAAATAATGTCGTGAACTGGTCTGTTATCCAAAGAAGGTAGAGGATCGCTCATCTACAGTTTTTTGGGTCCAGACGCTGTAAGTGCACAGTGATTGGTCAAGAGGACTTCACGTTCGGCAACCTAATTGGTAAAAAAACAGTTCAGGAATGAGGAAATTCATCATTTTGTGTGTATATATAACATTTTATAGTAACTTGAATGGACATGGACTCCCTTAAAATTTGAGCCATGTTTATACAAATCTCCTTTCAGTGGTAATAACAATTTCCCTCTGGGATTATTGAAGTATTTCTGATTCTGATTATATCTTAGTTTTGCTGCGTAACGCTAATTTAAGTTTCTTTTTTTTACTTTTAGAGCGACAGCTATTATTGCGTACCTTCCTTTCAGAATCAATGAAAGGAGAAAAAATGTTGGCTGATAAAGTGTCAAATGGCAAACACCCTGGAAGTCATAGGTTATGACCCACTTAGCTCCTGTAAATTAGCCTTGTTGGGTACTTGTGTGGTAACGAGGTTAGTGTGTTGTGAATATATCGGTCAAGTTTGGACGTTCGGACCAAGACCTGACGCAGGATGTTGAATCAGTTGAACCAGCTCCAACCTGATCCATACTTAAAAATCTAACGAGAAGGGTTGGATTCTTATCTTTGAAGTAGAGTCATTAATCCGTTCCCTGAGCTATTAGTGTGTGAGTTTAACATTTAGTTGGAAAGGGGTCAGAGACTGGAGGAAAACATCCACGTCTTGCTGGCAGATTTTTCGGAGCTTGTGTGATAAGACTATTAACACTATTAGACATAGGCGTGGCACAAAGACCCAATGTGGAGAGAAAGGAGGCAGGGAAGGAGGCAGGGAGGGAGGGGAGGGCTCCAAACCAAAAATCACCCATCTGCTTTATTTCCCATTCTCTCTCCCTCTCTCTTTGTCTCTCCCTCCTCCTATTCTTCCTCTTTGTCCCTTTACCAGTCTCTTTTCATAGGTGTCCATCATTTCTCCGTCTCTGCCCCCCCCCATAAGCAGCTGTTGCCTCAGTCTCTCTCCAATGCGCACCCACCCACACTGGGGTGATTTGTCCATCATTGGAAATATCCACGATTAATGCGTCATTGTCTGCTGTACCAATTTTGGACGATCTGGACGCCCACGCGGACGCGGACGCGCAAAGCCGGACAGAGCCGGTCGGTGCGTGAAAAGGAATCTCTTTTATTTGCGTACCCCGCCTTCCCCCTAACCCCACTCGCACACGCACACACGCACGGACACACACACACAAAAAACGCGTCATCTTCTTCTCTTATTACTCTGAGACTTCAAACACTTGTTAAGTGCCTTGACTCACACACTTCAAAAGGGTAAGGAGGAGTAAACAAGGCGAACCAGCCTCCTGCCGTGTGGAGATTTTGGTCAAATATACTTCCAAAGTGAAGTCAAAGCTGCCTCCACTCTCCACTGGCTCCGTGTGACATCAGTGATCTGAGCTCTTACACACATTTTCGACTGAAAGTTCCACCTGATGTGTGTGTAAGCAAATCAAAGACAACAGAAAACCTAAAGCTACCACCAGTCTAATATTCCTCAAAGTATAAGTTGGGATTAATATGTCTCTTTTAGATAGAAAAATAACAACATTATATAAGTAATAAAGAGCCCTTTGTGTCAATGAAATGTTAAGGTGCAAAAACCATGAGCTACCCCTAATTTCTATCCATTGTGCTTCCAAAGAGTATTTTTGAGCGATCCTACTCTTGGTTTTCTCAGTCTTTCAGAGTTTTTCTTATAAATCTGGGCTACGTCTTCAGCATTTTCAAGTCCAGTTTTTCAACCTGAC